CTAAAAGCTGGTAAACCGTTTCAAGAGAGTCTCAAGCCTTACGAGAACGTACTTGCCATGCTGTTTCTACAATGTAACAAGATGGACTCCAGCTGCAGATATAGTCAGTGGCTCCTCCGCTATTATCTACACATCAATGCCACCCTGGCGCCTCACGCCCCCCGTACACGTTGTGAATGATCATGACACAAATCATCTGAGCATCACCCCTCCTCTCTGTGATAACTAGAGCCCCCTGCGCCACCGTTCTTACTCAAACGGACAAGAGAGGCGGAATGGAGCGACCATGAAAACAAGAACCTGCGCGCAACGGAATCAAGCTAAATAAGACTACAATACAAGCACACCCGTTTCCATAGCTTTGAGCTGAGAGAGCATCTGCCTACCCCTTCTCTTTGGGAGTAGAGGAAGGAGCGTGGTGAGCTCCTGTACCCCGTGCAGTAACAACGACAATATACGCGTGCGGCGTGTGTTCTTTACAAACCTTGGCCGCTTGAGCCTCATGCCACCTCTCACCCCCTCCCATCGAGCCGATATGTGGTGAAATCCCGGCATCTCCCCCACGTACAGTAGGTCCCCCGGTAGGGAGACGGCCGCCATTCTCCTGAAATAGTATCGACCAAGCTACTGTGGTAATAAAGCGCTTGACAGGCTTACCATGGGGCTACACTTCTTCAAGAGGACGCCACAAAACAAATCAAGACGCTGAGCTTCGGCACACCCGCGATCCATAAAAAATCCCATCCTGCAGTGTCTGGAACCTCCCCCCGCCGAAAAACGGTGTTGAAAATTCTAGTCCGTCCCCATGATTGCATCAACCAACAGAATCGAGTTTCATCATTCAATACATCCCATTCACTCCTGCTAAGCTTCTAGGGGTTCGTCATGAGGGCGATGATTCAAAATCACACCAAAACCAACGTGAGGACAGCCGGCCAGCCCCGAGGAGATCGGACACTACCGTACACCCTTACATCGCTGCAACTTTTGATGCGCATTTGAAGTGTACACAATCACACCAACCAAAATATCAGTACGCACAACACTGATAGCCAAGACAACAGCACCGACAACATTCACAGAACTCCACAATCACCACCTCAACGACCACAACGTCGATAACAACAACAACTACCACGCAATGAGTAGAGCTATCTATAATCTATGCACAACCGCAACAGCAACCAGACCAAAAACAAAGAAACGCGAAAGAGTTGGAAAGCAACTGCCGTTGTTTTCTCGAGAGAGAGACACCGCCGCGCCTCTTGCCAAAAGTTGCCCTTGTCTCTCGCGCACCCACGGCCAAGCAAGAAGCGTCCAGAGCGCGCTTCCGTTTTTCCTTTGTTTACTTATTTCTTGTTGTTTCCTCCGCGAGGAACGGCGGGTGGCCATTTCTCCATTACAGTTCGCCCGCCCTGCTCGTTCGGCGCCCGCGGACACGATGGAGGCATGCCGACAAACGTCAAGGAAGAATAATAACAACAGTCCTTATTAATGGATTCCTTGAAGGCTGTGAGATTTCGACAACAGAAAACAAGATTATTCCGCTTTAGAGATGAACGGACCGCGTTGTTTGCCGACAAGTTTATGGCTTTGCAACACCACCGGAACGAAAAAACAGCGCACCGCACAAGGACGGCATGGCTGTGCTCTCGCCGATAATCCCACCACATACAAAAGCACGGTGCACCGCAGCAGACGGAAGTGCCCGGGGCGTCCGCGCAGGGCGGATTTCTTTCCTACAAGAGGTAGCACTAGTAGAACAACATGGCCCTGCGTAAACGTCCAAACACCACACTCCATCCCCCAAACCAAAGAAAACGAAACCTTGCGATCGGACGGACGAACATCTTAAGTCCCCCCGTCCCCAATCCCCGACCGATGAGTCAACTTACCCGACCGACAGAACGGGTGTGTCTGGGCCCCGTAAACCGGGTTGAAGTTCAGGATACGTTTGTCCGCCGTGCTTGGAGACGTCCATTCCGGCCATCTCCTGTTCCTTGCTGATGCGAATGCCTGTCGACGGCGCATTGGCCGAGAAAGAGCGCATGAGGTCGGTCGCTTGGATGACGAAAGAGCGAGACGTACACGAAATCTCGCTACGGTGCCATGCTTCGGTTGGAGCGCGAATCTCGCTACTGCATCATGTTTTTCGGTTTCATGTGGTCGATCTCGTTGCGTGTTGCTGTTAATTTGTACTGCTGCTGCTGTTGGCGGTGGCGGGGTTATTGCTGTTAATTTGTACTGCTGCTGCTGCTGCTGCTGCTGCTATCGTTGTTTATGGTGATTTGTGGTGTGCATGCACAAACGAACTCCCTGTGTGTGTGTCTCCCTCTCTGTGGCAGCAGACCTTCAGCGGATTTCAAAAGAGCTACAAGCAGACAGCAGAGACCGGCAAACCCGTAAATGGCGCCAATGGCAAACCAAGCCAGAGGCAGGAGTACGTTAACGCCGACCAAGCCTGCAGTATTCATCAAGGCGGGGATTGGTGCACCCGTTGTTTTCTAGAAGGAGCCACTGTCGCGCCATCAGACTGTGTGGTGCTCCACCTCCCTCCTCGCCAATGATCTTTGGAGGCCATTGTTGCCACGAGAGCCCTGGGGTTGATTGTGGGGCGGGAACACCCACGTCACCACGACCACCGCCGCCGCAATCCGACCCCAAGCAGAAGCAAGCCAGTACATCAACCCCCACAACAAAAAGAAAAACGACGACAGGGACGACAAGACTCACCCACCTCGCTACATTTTTCGCGACTCCTCCTTTCTCCACCCCCGCCTCCATCCCTCTTCCTCTTCCGTCTCACCTATGGTCAGCTTCGTCACCACGAAGAGCAAGAGGGTCAGGAAGCCCACCCAGGCCACCACGGCCATCAAGAACACGATGCTAGCACCGAGAGAGCTGCCGTTGCCGCCGTACAGAATGCCGGCGCACGTGCCCGACCTGTCCTCGGAATAGGCCGCCGCGTAGCCGAACTTTGACGCGAAGAAGCCAGCCGCAACGAGGCCCCACATGCCTCCGAAGAGGTGCACTGGGACCGCGTTTACGACATCGTCCAGCTGACGGCGGGGCGAACGGGTACAGCAGACCGTGTTGAGGGTTGGGAGCAGTGTTCAGAGCATCGCCCGCGTAATGCGTGGTGGGCAAGGAGAGGGAATCACAGGTCTTGGGGGGGGGGGGCTTGTCTTCCACGTGATTGGTGGGGAAGGGGCGGAGACCAATGCACGTATTAAAATAGCGCAAAGCGTACGTGGTCGTGTGTGTATGGCTGCGAGTCAACGCAATGTGACGACCTTCGCACTACTGTGTGGACCACAATACCACAAGTTACACGTGGGCTGGAGGTCAAACCAAGCAACAAATGACACCTGATCGTTGAAACATCTGTAGCGCAAATAATTGCTTTGCCGCCGGGAGTATGGAGTAATAATTCTTCTGCCGTTTCCTTGAAACAGGCCAGCTCGCCTGGTCATCGGTGTGAGATGGGCGTCAGGTGCTATCGCTCTCTAATGTGTGGGTGCCCATGAATTCCAATATCCTGGAAGCCTTGCACCAGGCCTCAATGCGGTGCGGATGGTCACAATACTTTTCGACCCGTCCGTACGCATGCGTGTAACACTTGAGGGTGAAATTGCCTCAAACGGGCAAATAGGAGAAGAAGGCTCGGCGAAAAATCGACCATCGCACCCTAACCGCGCCTCGCCGAAGCCGAGACGAGAGGAGTACACAAGACGACTGCACCCTGAAACCTTCATTATCGAGGCCGTGTCTCACGTGAAACTTGAGCAGCAAGGCGGACGCGAAGAGGTACAGCACCCCGCCAATGAGACCCACGACGAAGGCCCCCTCGGGCTCGTAGGTCGCCGCGCCCGCGGTAACGGACACGAGACCGGCTAGAATGCCGTTCAAGGCGCTCCCGGTGTCCCAGTACCCGCACAGCCGCTGGTTGACGAGGAGGGAGCTAATGCCGCCGGAGGCGCCGCCGATGACCGTCACCGTCATCACCTGTAACAACCACGACAGCGTTTTTTTTTTTCTTTTTCGCAGAAGATGGGGGGGGCGGGTGACTCTCATCTTATACACTAACTCTACGTTCAGGGATTCTTGCGGTTATGCGTAAGGGTAGATGGAGGGGGGCTCACAGATGGTCGATGCATCGATGGTCTGTTGCGGCATGCGTCGCTAAGGTGGGCCGCACCTGAGTTGAGCAAAGGCGTAGATAAACCTGCGAACGCTTTCATCCCCGTCATACATTATCGTTGTAACGTGGAAGAGGAGGAACAAGGGGAGGGGGGTACTCATAGTCGTGCATGCCGTAGTCGTTAGACCATTGTCCTCGCATCCCTACAAAGCCGGGACGGAGCACGCCGGGTTCTCACCGGACCAGGCTCTCACATCACCAAGCGCGAAGCGCCGTGAGGTATTCGGCGAGTCGCATGAAGGGTGCGCTGCATCCTGCTAAGGGTGTTCGGCATCTTGTGCTTACTTCCTTACGTACGGATGACAGCTGCGTATGACTTAATTTATTTTCTGGTACTTTCACTTCCAGAGACAGTTATAGGCACTGTGTAACTGCCTCGAGGATGCTTGACCATTTAAACGCAACGTGGTGCGATCCTCCCCCTTGCGCGGAGTGAGGGTTCTTCACCCCGCACAACATGATCTACTCGACCACGATTATGGTACCACCAAAATTGAAAAAAACAGAGGTAAAAAAAAAACGGTAACTTGGTTGCCGAGTTCACGAGGTGAATTGGCTTGTTTTACAACATCGCTGCCAAGCGACGAAAACCCAGTCCCGATGGCGAACACCGAGGGGGGGGCTTGTTTTACAACGTCGTTGCCAAGCGACGAAAACACAACCCCGATGGCAAACACCGGGGGGGGGGGCTAGGGGAGGGGGGGGAATGGATAGAGCCCCGCGGAGGAGGCGGTTGGTGGGACGACTTGGGTTGTTAGTTTCGGAAACGAGTGGGGGCGGGGGAGGAGATGAGGGTGGAAACTGTTGCCCTTCAATGCGTGATATGTCAGTTGTTCACGGAACTGAGCGAGTCGGGGTCGGTAAACAGGTGGGCTGGTTGTTCTCGCTAAAAGGAAGTAATAAACACACACCCATATATACCTATCAGCCGATGACGGCGATTTTCAAAATATTCTAGCCCGTTGCCGCCCTGGAGTCTTTCCACTGGGGGTGGAAGGATCTGGGCATGGGACAGTTCGACACAAATATGCTGCCTGTGCGACACTTGTTGTAGTAGCGCTCGCCTAGCGATTGGTGTTGGCCAGCGCAAGATAAGGCGACAGAGTGTGAATGTCATGCACGTTGTACTGATCTACCAGTAGTGGTGAAGGGCGGAGACGGCCCTGGGCAACACGATTCCTCAGTGTTTCGTTCGATGTGTGTTTGGGATTTCGTCATGTCACTCGAAGAAGAAGAAAACGATTTTTGAGCAAATACAATGTTAACCTCCAATAACCCTTCTTGCGGGACGTAGGCAAGCCGAATGCGCGAAACGCAGCCCACAAAATTTCACGAGTGACTTTTGGAATGAGTAAGTGAGTGAATGAGTCGCGTGAGGGCGTGAGGGCGTCGGTGGCCGTTGTGTTTGGATGCGCTGTTCGGTCGGTAGTGAGTGAGTGAGTGGGTGAGTTAAGCAGTGAGTGAGGGAACCAGTGAGTGAAAAGAAAAAGAGAAAGGAGCGAAATGAGTAAGTGAGTGAGTGGGTAAACAGACAGCGAGCGAGCGTTGGCAAAAGTATATGCATGTGCTTGTGAGCGTGAACAGGTGAGGTAATAAGTAGGCGAGTGAGCAAGTGAGTGAGTGAGTAAGTGAGTGGGGAGTGAGAAAGTTAGTGATTGAGTGAGTGACTAAGAACCGGGGTTTGCGTTTGTGTATGTCTGTCCGTCGGTAAAGAATCGTTCAGGTACGTAGGGAGGGAGGGAGGTAGGGAGTGAGTGAGTAGAATCATCAATATGTGCCGGGAAAAAAAAACATCCCGTGCTTGGTTGAGACTTTTTGGATCGAATGCACCACCCAACGCACCCTCGCAGCCACGGCCGGCATGGCCACGAACGAGGGTACAGATCCCCCGTTGAACCCGAGCCAGCCCCACCACAGCATGAGGGTCCCTAGCGTCTGTACAAGAGAGAGAAAAGTGCAAGGGGGTGGGAGGGGCAGAATGAAACCAGGAGATGTGCACGGGACGGGGCTAGCTTCGGGCACCAAGGCACGAATCCTTGGGGGGCCGGGGGGGGGGGGGGGGGGGGGGAAAAACCTAACCCGGGGGGGGGGGGGAAAACGGGGGAC